GCTAAATTTTTTCTAATGGAAGCTTGCAGCGATAATAATGATTAGGAGTTAGGCGTGTGTCGAAGGGATCACCAACCTGTGTCAGGTTATGCGGCTGTGGTGATCATGGTAGGGTGGGCAATGTCAGCGGCAAACAACATCTTCGCTGCTGACACCGACACACACATCAGATGCTGCCATTCCATCTAGGCAGCACCCTTCTTTTCAGGTATTCCCTTCCCTTTTACCCCAATCTTAGTTCTGTCCCCCTACAATTAACCTCAAAGTCAGTTCGCACGCGAATTTAAATAGGATGTTTTATATACATATGCGAGCAAGTAGCACTGTGGATCAAATTGGAAACTCACTCCCTTTACCGACGAAACAAGAGCCGGAACCAGCGCGTGCCCCACTTGAAGCTACACCCACCATCTTTCGTTGCTGTTAGAATCATTCGTGATATGCTACAGTATTATATTATATATAATAATCTTATTTTGGCGCCCAACGTATGGGGCTAAACCGGCATAGCCCGATTACAAATATTTTGTAAAGGTAGTCACTTCCATCTGACTAGGTTTCTATTTCTGACTTTGAAGTTTTTATTGTTTTTCATTTTCCCTTTTTTTAGTTTAGCTGTTTAGTTCCGTGGATACAATAATTTATTTATTGCCTAGACTAGCAGTTGAACATAATTTTTTTGTTGGTGTATCTGGATGTGTTATAATTAATTTTATGACTCCGAAATCTAACTTAAAAATCATCGTGTGCAGGCAAATTGTGATTAGGAAGCGTTGTTTATTGGTTTTTACGTGGATTTAATTGCTACGGCCATCCCGTCTACTGACACTTATTTAGCTTGCATACCCTACAGGTTTATTTTATTGTGATCGTGAGTGGCAGAAAGTTGAATTGTTGCCGTTTGCCTTTTTGGCTTTGGCTGTGCTTCGTGTCCATTAAAGTAAATTTTTTTCGTTTCGTTGAGGATTTTAAAATTTTCATCGACGTTGCGATCGTGAGTTTCAGGAAGATGTTGTCTTTTGCCTTCTTCGGCTGAACTTCGTGTCCGCGTATGATTGCTTAATTTACTCAACAATCTATACCTTGAAGGCGACATTCGAAGAGTTGATACTGGATACAGGATTGTGGACAAGTGCTACACCTGCCGATCAACTAACTTCGTTCGTTCAAATTCCCTTTACTCTTTCTATTATTCAACAACTATACTATGAATAAGATCGTCGAAAATTGAACCTGGATGTAGGCTGTGGACAAGTTCTGCGCCTTCCGATCAACGGATTATGATCGAATTCCCTAACCTTTTCTTTTCTACTTTTCAAAACCCTTGTATCACCTGGCTGATGTTTGACTCTAAACTATTTGAATTGCTTGCATGGCTTCCAAACTTTTATGATTGATTACCTTTCTTATATACACATTTTTATTCAATTTCTTCCATTTATAATAAATTATAATAATTTTTTTTTTAATAGGCTTAAATAATTTGTCTATAATTACATTTAGAATTTCGGTGTTGAAATGCCAGTACCGCGCACTGACGATCTTCATTGTCACTGTTGCTCTGATATTATTCAGTCGGAGTCTGAACTTTATATAACAAATTGTGGACACAGTTTCCACCAAAAGTGTCTAGACAAACCAGGAAGGACCTTGTGCCCTGTGTGCAAAGAGGCCCTGACTCACTTGACTGGTATTCCATCCGATAGTTCTGGTGCATCTACTTCAAAAGGAGTAGGTAAAACCCCCGTTCCCCCCATATCGGTTTTGACCCGATCACAAACTAAGCGGCTGGAGGATACAAGCCTAAACATGGTAAATCCTGGGGATAACACAGCTCCACTGCCGCAGGCAGAGCAACAAAGCATGGCTGATTCCATTAAGAAAGCTATAGCGGAAGCGATGGCTACAGCCATGTCAGAGCAGTCAGTCATTTTAGCTAGGTCTATGAAAGATCAAACTGATAAGCTAACACAAGCTATCACAACAGGGCTTAACATCAATCCGAACAGTCCACAACATTCTGTACAGTTGCAGAATAATTTTGATAATTCTGGACTACCACTTGACAATAATTCCGTAGGTCGCGAGTCTGGTGGTTCCGAAAATGGTCAGAGAGACATCTCCAATTAGGATCCACTCCTGATTGCCCAATCATTCGTAAACCAGACTTGACTAACATACCGGATGTACCTTTTAATAACCACTATGATACCTCTGACACCATTTTCTTCCCAAAATCGTCGAAACATTAAATTTTCGCTACATTTATCTTCTCCAAGCGCTGATCACCCTTTGTTGATTTCATCCCCAAAGTGTGATTTTGGTGGGGGGTATTTGTAGGGCGCTTGTCGTTAATATTTTCAATTTTTAAATTTCCCACTTCAATTTAAAATTCCCGCCAGTTTTTGAAGTTGCCGCCAGGAATTAAAATGGCAGAGCCAAATTTAAATAATTACGGTTTTTACAACACTGAAAAGACGTGTTCGATAAATCCTTTTTGAGCAACTCTGGTCCCAAACTTTTTCGATAAACAGGCCTGGCTGCCTGATGCATTTCGATTATTCGGTCTTTCCGTTTTGAACCTTGGCTGTGTGAAGATCGTTCTCTCCTGAGCGTATTTTATTTAAACCCAGAGATCTACCCAAACCAAATCGTGGAAAATATCAGACATCCTCAGCCTTTTATAAGGTTTTCTTTTACCAGTGGGTTCCTGTTGATTAAAGGAAGTAAGTTTTACTATTATTTCGTGGAAAAACCCCACTTATAAAGTAATGCGTTTTATAGGAAAATTCTTGGAAGTCGAGTTTACTCCTTCACGTGGCTGACGGCCCGGGGAAATTTTCCTCCCAGATTTTCATCTGCATCTTGGAAAATTGAAGTCGAGTTTACTCCTTCACGTGGCTTACGGCCCAGGAAAATTTTCCTCCCAGTCTAATCAAGAAAGTGAAGAAATCTAATCAAGAAAACTGTGAAAATTTCAACCAGCGTTGCCACCTAGCGTCCACGCTGAAAATTCTTGTGAATTCTGGTCCAAACAATTCCGTACAAATTCATGCACGTCAGTGCCAACAACATAGTGCACCCTGTGTCTCACATACCTACATAGTGCAGCCCTCTGCTGAAAGTGCGCAAGTGGGCAGGCCCAAGCCTGCAACACCCACTTTGTGATTCCGTCTATTACACCAACACAATTTAAATTCTAATCAGTTACATTTTTATCAACTAATTTCCTATTCGTAATTTATCGCTAAATTAATTAAAACATAAATATCAAATAAGCCGTTAACGTAAATTACCTTAAATCCTAGTGTAATCAAATCGATATGCAGTAAGCAAATCTCGTCATGAGAGCAAGTGTTTAAGCCCCTGGAAGTGTTTTCCCTAATTTATCTTTACATTCAGTCAATTGAAATGCAGTTTTCAAATTTATAAACAAAATTACAGCCAATAATGCAACATATTGAAAGCGCTTTCAACGTTGGATATTTTGGGTAAGTGATCGGCTCCGGTCGTAATGCTACATTTTTGATTGACTGTATACAATAATATCCCAATGATTTTAATATTTTAAAACAAATTCCCCCATGACTAAAATACTTGCTCAGTGAATTCAATTACAATTAATTATTTTTTGAAATCAATTTTTAATTCAAATTAAATTTTCTTGCTTTGGTTTAAATATACTCATTTAATATGAGCTTAGCATAAACTTTATATGAACCCCAACTTTGTAACTTTAATGTTCACCTTTGTTAGTATTACTTTTCTTGTATTAAACCTATTATAAACATGAATTGCTAAATTTTTTTCTAATGGAAGCTTGCAGCGATAATAATGATTAGGAGTTAGGCGTGTGTCGAAGGGATCACCAACCTGTGTCAGGTTATGCGGCTGTGGTGATCATGGTAGGGTGGGCAATGTCAGCGGCAAACAACATCTTCGCTGCTGACACCGACACACACATCAGCTGCTGCCATAACATCTAGGCAGCACCCTTCTTTTCAGGTATTCCCTTCCATTTTACCCCAATCTTAGTTCTGTCCCAACAATTAACCTCAAAGTCAGTTCGCACGCGAATTTAAATAGGATGTTTTATATACATATGCGAGCAAGTAGCACTGTGGATCAAATTGGAAACTCACTCCCTTTACCGACGAAACAAGAGCCGGAACCAGCGCGTGCCCCACTTGAAGCTACACCCACCATCGTTCGTTGCTGTTAGAATCATTCGTGATATGCTACAAAATGCAGTATTATAAAGTTTTTAAACTTTGTTGTTCAAAAATAATAGAAACGAGCTGGAAGTGTTTGCTTTCTTTGTTACTCTTACTTACGACTTTAATGGAAGTAAAACACAATGTTAGGAATTATAAAATGAAATGTACATATGTATACATTGTATAGCATAAAAAAAGCATCGTATAAAATATTGTGTTTTGTACTTTTCGTCAGATATATGTTAAAGTGATTTCAATTACTCTAGAGGTTTCTTTAGAAGCCTCGACGAATTGATATGTTTAAAAAAACTTTATTTTATTCAAAGTTTTTAAAATCTCGAAATAAAAACGTAGAAAAGCATTGCCAAAAATTCCTAAATATATTTGAAATCTAACATTTTTGGACTTCCAAAAAGTCTGGCTCGTGAAAACGGGGCAAAAGTACCTGTCGCTGGGTACATGGCCGAAAGCGCCTATCAGTTGGCCGTTGAGCCTATCCCAATAACTGATAAGGCGTCTAAGAGAGCGGAGAGTTACAAACGCACCGCTCTTTGCTGGAGCAAAACTCTCCACTCGGCTAAGAGAGCAGCCCAACGGGACTTCGTGTTGGCCAGGAACCAACGAGGACGCCTTCGGGCGCTGCCGCTGCCTTGGCTATGACGTAGTCGCTGTCGCAGCTGCCGCCGCTGCCTCTGCCGCTGCCACTGCCGCTGCCAACGGCGGCAGCGGACGCTTGCTGCTGATAAACAGTTTTCGTTTATCATCAGTTTGTCGATGGCACAGCGCGCAACTGGACGTACTTTCGCATCTTGCCCATGGCATCAGGCCAGCAATTGCCAAGCGACTGACTCGCGTTAGCCATTTCTATTTCTGCCATTCCTGAGTGTGTGTGTGTGGGCTCAATCAGTAACCGTGTCCGTGTGCGCGGCCGCTGCGGGTGTGTGCGTGTTGGCCAACTTTAAACGCTCTTATCAGCGCGCGTGTGAAGCATGAGCTTGGTGCAAACAAAGTTTTGGCGGCATTTTCAATTAATGGCGATGCCAGCAAAAGCCATCGAAAATTTCACAAAAAATATCATACCAACTGAAAGCGAAGCAATAAAAGAACATTCAAATAAATGAGTAAGTAATTGAAAGTTTAAGTAGAGGAAAATATATTACAGGTCAAAAAAAAATGAAACACTGAATTTTTAAAAGTTTTGGATTGATAACAGAAAGTAAAACCAATGAAAATGTTACAAAAAAAGTAGAAAACAGTTAAGTGAAATACTCATACGATAATTTATTGAAAAAATAATATTGAATATCAAGTGCCAAGAGTTAAAAAAAAATATAAACTGAATACTTAATAAGTTGTATAATTTATTCTTACATGTTTAATTAGGCGAAAGCAATTAAACGGTAATTTTTGATTTGGTAAAATAGCTAGTTATACATAATAAAGTTAGCCAAAAATGTATTAGCTAATTTTAGCTTATTTAGAATTTTATTGGGTCAATAATTTCCCAATAATGTTGCAATTGTGCATTTTTTTATTAATTAATTTAGAAAAGTATAGAATAAAACAGATAAAAGTTGTCAACATATTTATATTCATACTTTTAGAAGCAGACAAATATTCTTCGAAACTTTACAACTTGTAGTTGTGTATGTTTTTGGATAGCGAATTAAACAAATGAAACTAAATGGGCAGAAACATTTAATGAGAATTAGAAAATTAGGAAATAAATATTTTGCGATAAAAACTTGGTGCACATATTTTTGGCAACATGATTTTAGCTAATTAAACGAGCTTAAAATGGTTTTGCCGAATTTTACGATTTGGATGGCCTTTATTATATTGTTCTAATTTCGTCTAGCTGCGGATGGATTTAATTTTTTCCCGGGAACATTTCCATGCATATTTGATTGGCAGTCGCAGAGGCGCATAATTCATTCCACGAAATTTTCCCGTTTTTCACTCGGTTCACAAGATTGCACAGGGCAACAGGGAAAAATTACGAAAAATGCGCTGCGACTTGAAAAGTCAAAAATTATGTAAATGCAAAACATTTTGTGTTGCTCTATGCATGTAAACAATTTTTTGCACCATTATGCGCCATCAAGTATGCAAAGATATGTTGTTCCAGAGCTCGCAGCAAGCCTCCTTCTCCTGGCAGGATCTGATTTTTAAGAGGGTCGGGAAACGAGGAGGACGGACAGGTAGTCACTCACCTGAGTCGCAGGCTGCGGGCGGCTTTTGACATGCCAGCCAGCGTGTAGAACATCAGAATGTTTAGATTTATGTGAGCCAGTGACAGCTGCAGGCGAAGATCCAGATTGTGGGGCAGGCTGAGGAACTAAGGCTGAGGATGTGGCCCTAAGCTGCTGCCTGCTAATCCTTCAAACTGTGCAAATCACTTTTGGCAGTTCTCGTTCTGTTTCCCCTTCCTGTGGCGCAAAAGTTGAAAGTTTTCTGTGATGTAATCGCATTTGCTCCGGCTGTCTCTTTAATTAAATTTAAGAGACTGACAAAAAAATAAGCAGAGCCTGTCTGCCTACGAAGCGTGAAATATTTAACTTTCGAGTTTTGCATTCAATTCACGCACCAAAACTTGGCCAACACACATACTCGCCCATACACACACGCACGGGATCCGGAACTCTGTTTCTTGGCTCGATTCTACTCTGAGTTGGGAAAATCCCCGGCATGCTTTTAGTAGGCAAAATATGCGCCCTTGGCGCTAAGTTTTTCTGGGCGACATTTGTTACTTTTATTTACGCACACGAAATGAGCACTGGGCAAAAATGATTGACATCTTCCGCTTTACTTTGGCATTGGTGTATTTTGTATACTACAGTGTTCATTTAAGGTTATTAAATAGAAAAATATGTTAACCTTTTTTCGTTAAAACGAGACAAAAATAATATTTTATTATAATAACTTTTTATTATTATTATTAGTACGCTTATTAACTAAGCAAAACGTTACACAATCAAGTTCTTTGAGGTAGAAAAATTAGCATATTATTTTTCCAAGTCAGTAATCACTAATATGATAAGCATAACAAATCATATATTAGCTGCCTGAATTAACACAGAAAATATAGAAAGGCTTATTAAAAAACGCAGAATAGCAGGTCAATAAAAAATGAGTTGATACTGTATAATTTATTATAAATTGGTGTAACCCTCAATTGATTTAGAACTGTATTTTTTTTTGCCGTGCAGTCATTCTCCCCCTGGCAAATAAGATTAACGTTGCCACAGAAGCCGTGGTTCAGAGTAGTGAGCCCCATAAAAAGAATAGAGCGGTCGGGACCTTAACCCATGCTATAACCCAAATATAAACCACCGTCAACGAGGCACACACATGCCCGAGGTGTTTCATTCATCATCAAGTGGCAAAGTAGCACGTTCCGCTCTCCAGTACTCCGACTCCCTTTATGTGCAACTTTTCCTATATTATGCGAACAATGTTTGAAACTTTGGCTGGCTTTTGGGTCGCAAATCTAATGCACAGGCCCTTGGGCCCGGATGCTTTCCTCTCACTGTGCATAATTTAGGGTTTAAAATTTTTTATTGCCTACATTTGGGCGTCGGCTGCGGCAATGAGCCGAGTTTTTTGAGTCAGTCGGTGAGCTGCATTAATCCCCTGCAGCCATCAAATGGGCTCAGCAGCCAACGTGCTGCGGCATAAATTAAACAATTGCCAGCCATGTGTTTGACCAGCGGCGAATTACGCATACGCCGCGTTGTCCGCCCCCAGAAAACTTCAACAACAAATTTAGACCTCACTGGGCAAAGTCGCTTTCGACTGCTTAGCCCAAGACTGGCTCAATCCAGCCTCAGAATTGTTTAATATTAAATTCGGCACTGACCCAGAAACTTTTAAGCAGCTTAAATGTTAATTAATTTCAAAAAACAACAAAATTTGTGGAACTTTTGCAAATGGAAATGGAACTGTCAACGTTTTTCGGGGCTAGGGGGTAGATTGTGTACCTAAAACATTTGTACAAGATATATATTTGCGCCGCTACATCCGACTCCATTAACATTTAATTTTCGCCAGCGCTCCATTTTAATGCGAAAGCCACTTCAACTGTGAGTCCGCTACGGCGAAATAAATTACAATCAAATGGCTGCGCCAGCCAGGGAAATGTGCGGCCGCAGCAGTAAAGTTTAATATTTCTGCCTTTAAAAGGGCAGAAATTATTAAAAAATTGTGCAATAAAGGGGAAAGGACAGGAAGGACGAGCATGACGGGTGAAGCGAGACGAAGAGTAGACATTAACCTGATGCGAAACCGGCAGCAGCCGAAAAATGTTTAGTCGTAAACATATTAAAAGCTACTTTGCATAAACTTGGCCCGTCAAGGATTCGCCTTCTTATTTTGAAAACCCTGCTCCGCGAAGGGGACACACTGCCATTTGCGATTTATTGAAAAGGGAAAAGCAAACGGTGGCAAACGGCAAGAACCCATAAAAGCCCCGAAAAGGGAAAATCGGAGAAAACCGGTGGAAAGGCGAGGGAAAATCGAACAAAAGCGGAGCCAAGAATTCTGACGACCGCTTGACGACCTGACGACGAGTCGTCAGTTGGAAAGGTGAAATTTGGGGATGGGGTCACCGCCATTCACTCTTTATTAGGCCGGTCAGCTGGCTGGTTGAAGGCTTCATTAAAAACACATTTCCAGCACAAATGTTTATGCCAGAGCCCAAAGTCCTTGATCGGCGAAATGCAGCACAAGCGATACAAATAAAAAGGCCAGCCAGAATTCAAATAGGAAAACACTAATATATTTTGCATTTGAAAGGCAGCTGTCAGCGCGGCAAGAGCAAAGCAAACTGGAAAAGCTGACACTAGAATGCGAATTTGTATTCAAACCGACTATAAGTGGTGAAAACAATATTAAATTCCAGCGAGTATCGATGGAAGAAGTATTTTTTCAAACTCCGACTGAAGGACATAAATGGAAATAATAAGAAAAACATTTTGCCTGGCTCGGAGCTTAACTATTTCCATTGTCGACCAACTGAAAATTTTATTGAACAATTCTTTAGAATATTTTTTATAACTTAAGCTAAGCTTAAACAGCTGTTCATTAAAGCAATTTTAATCTTATAAAGGTATACATTTTGACTTGATATGCTCGAAATGCAAACAACATGTTCTAAGATGGCCAGTTTGAATTTTGTATGTTGGTTTCTCCCTTCCACTCATGTAACTTTAATCGCTATTGTAAGAACGACTGAAAAAAAGAAAATAGGTCTTAGACCAGATTATGATATCGATTCGTTTATTTTTTATAGGTTAATATCACATAATTTTACCACTTACTATAATTGGTTTTGTATTTATTTGCATTGTCATTAAAAACAAAAATGCTTAAATTTCCTATCAGACAAAACCACCTATTTCAGATAAGAAAAATACTTGATTCACTACTCCGAAAGCGACGCATAAAATTTGACTAAAGCTTAAATTTTGCACCGAACAGAGTCCAAAAATGGCCAACAGCAGACTGCCATAAAAGCAAGCTCTCCGCATTTCAGACAAGTCCGAGTCCCGCATTTCAAAATTGACTTTAAGGGAGGGCCCCTATATATACGTATGTTTATGTACACTAGGAGCTTAGTTTATCAGAGCGGCAGCGGCGACTTATTTATATTTTGCCACGGCGTTTGCGTGTCAGCTGGTGTCAAAGCGCGGCTAAGCAAAATATTTACAATGCAACGGAGCGCGATAAAGCGGGCCGAAATGAAACGAACGGAAGGAGCACCAGAACCCCCAACTATGGATGCAAAGCTAAGCTGGAGGGGCAGGGATATGTCCGTCTGTGAGTACATAATCAAGTTTCAATTTGAAAACATCTCCGAGAAGTGTCTGGAATTTTAAGCATAGCTCGAACCAAAACCAATTGGCCTAGGAATCGCGTGTGTGTGACAAAAAAAAAAAGGGAATGCGAAATATAAAAACAAAAACCAAAAACAACAATAAAATAGAAGAGGAATGAAAGCGAGATGGCAGCAAAGCCAGCGAAATGTACACAAAAGGCTGCATTTGACAGGGGGCAGTAGAATGCTGCCAGGACACGGAGGGCATGGAGGACATGGTGGAACCCGTGGAAGCCACACACACAC